GTAGGGCGAACAGATGAAAAGTATCCCCCACAGCTAGAAGATGGAAAAGCACGGACCAGCATTAACTGATTCAGTTGACCAAAGATAAAGCTGTCCATCTGTGGGGAGCAACTGGCGAGGCCCAAGACAGTGCCACAGGTCTGCTCAGGAGCATGCAGTCCCTCTTTGGGAGGGGTGGGGTGGGAGGTTGGGGGCCAAGCGCGTGCGTGCGTAGGATTAAAGCAGGTATCAGGCATAGTCAACCCTCTAGAGCCTCACCAAGTGGGAGCAAGGTATCATGCATAGCCAGCCCTCTCAAGGCACATCACCCTGGAATTCAAAACACCAAATGCAAAAAGGAGATCCTGAAACTTTCCAGAGGGGAATTTAAACAGGTTACACACAAAGCACAAGGCATCACAATGGTATTGGATTTCTCAACACATAGGTCCTCAAAGACAATGAGGCAATGCTTCCAAAAATCTGATACAAAATCATGCCCAACCTATAGCCCTAAATTCAAACTCAGCCAAACCATCAACTGGAGGTTAGAATAGATATTTTCAGACAAGGAAGGTTTAAAAAAATTGAGCCGCACTGTTTCTCAAGAGTACACTTCAGGGTACTACTGGAGAAGGTGCACTAATCAACAAATGTGTCAACCAAATAACACAACATGACAAAAGAAGAGGGCCCTTCACACTAAGAAGGTGCCAGGGGGATCCTTAGGATAATGGTTAACAGTAATCTCAGGCATCAGTCGGCAACTATCAGATAAGGCAAAATTGGAGGGATGTGTGTGTTCCAGGAGGAACAGTTAGCAAAAGGATAAAGATAAAACAAGCTGATCATCATAGTGAGAGGTTGCAAGATGTGGTGCTGGTTCAGGTAATGAAAAAATTGAAACTAAGCAAGTAGGGGAAAGAAGACAAACCTTGAGGCTCTAACTCAAGAGAAATACAAACACAGGTCCACATAAGAACTTGTCCACACGTGTTCACAGCACTTCCATCATGAGTCAAAAAATAGAAACCATCAACTGGGACAAAGACAATGTGCTTTGTCATGCGATGGGCTATTACAGCACAGTACCTAAGAACTATGCTCTGTGAAAGTCTGTCTCAAAAAAGCCACATAGCTCGTGATTCACTTATATGAAATGTTCAAAACAGGCAAATCCATAGAGATAAAAAGTAGATGAGCTTTTTGACAAAGTCTTCAACCTTCCCCAAAGGAAATGGTTGTCTCTGTTCACCCATCACCCTCACCCTGATGGGTCTGGCCTTTGGAGCTCCCCTCCAGCCACTGCTGCCACATCCTCCCACTCTTTCCAAAGCTTTGCATCCTAACCCCTCCTTGACAAATCCCAGGACCCTTGGCAGCCCTCTCCAGCTGACTACTGCCTTCCATCTTTTCTCATTTCTCCCCCAACAGTGACTTCTCAATTGCCACCCCCCCTCCATTAACCACCTCTCATTTCTTCCTGATTCCATCTACAAGTACTTCAATTCCACTCCATCAGCCCATTTGAAACCAAAATTTGCATCATCTCCCAAAACTAACTCTTCCTGTTGGTTTATGAACTCCACTAGCCCCAGGCTTCAAGCCGTGATGAGATCTTGGAATTCCACCTCTGCTCTGCCTCTGGGGCCAAGGCTTCTCAGAGGTTCTGTCCTTTCCTGCACACTTTCTTCTTGCACAATGGCAAGGTTCTAGGCAATGACCTGACCTCCCTATTGGTGGGGCTTTTATTTTAAGCCCATTTATGAATGACCCCACCTAATGGGTCTTCCAGACTCCAGTCTTCTTTGCCCATTACCCCAAGTGAATTCTCTTAAAACCCCTGAATGGTTAGCTTAAAACAGAACTCACCCCCCTAAGTCTCAACTTTCGGCCCAACAAAAGGCAGGAATACAAGATGAACTGTAACACCACGGAGGAATGGATCCTGAAAGCAAACAACCGTAAGAGCCAACAAGGGCAGCATTTGCCTACGGATAAAACTCTGGAGAAGGCAAAACTGGCTAAGAAAGAATAAGACAGGGAGGAAGTGGGAAGCCTGCTAGTACATGACAGAGGCTGAAATTAATGCCACAAAGCAAAAGGTATTATGAATTGTTGCATGAAAAACCAATTTGTTACATAAACTCTCACTCAAATTACAAGAGTTTAAAAACAGACAGAAAGGCCCATGATAAATGTGCCACCTCGAGTTGTCATTCTTCCTAAGGCAACGGGTCCTCCTCCTTCCTTGAGTTTGCTCCTGCTGTTCCTGTCACCCATCCTTGGGGGCCCAGTGAAAACTTCCTCTCCAGGACTGTGTCTTTCCCGAACCCAGCAAGAAAAACCCTGCTTTGTCCTTCCAGAAGGCCTGGCTTAAGATTCTTTCTCAAATACAGTTATCTACCACCCGATCACCACAGAAAAGTGCCACTCTAGCACAAGAGACCTGGGGGCTGGGACCTGAGTGAGCAAGGCCTGAAGGTCAGCTCATGCACATGGCTTCATTGGGCACAACAGAGGTTTCTAAAACTATTCCAAAAGCCCCCAAATCTGAGCCAATATTTAGAAATCTGGAGAACTCATATAAAAATGAGCGGAGCATCTCTTGGAAACCAGACATTGCTCCCACTTCACAAAAACTTTCTTTGATGACCTTCTGGGGTAACTACCCTAGTCACCCCGCTGAGGTCTCTTCACCCCATACTCCCACACGTGTGTCTTTAGTTTGTTTAGCTGGTGTTTTCTCCCTTGAGAATGTGCCCTCCCTGAGAGAAGAGCTGTTGAATTCAAAGCTACCCTCAGCCCTGCAGGATGTCAGGGGCTACTGAGGTACTGCTGAGTGATTGGGTGGCATCGCCCCTGAAGAGGGCCAATGGACTGCTGGTGTGTGTGTGTATGTGTGTGTGTACAACTCATTGAATGGTTTCCTGCCCATTGAGGAGCCAGCAGGAAGTGAGCAGCAGCTGTGTAGCCTGCAAGTACCCCCAGTTGCCCCTACCCAATTCCCCAGTGTGTACACCCAATGGAAGCAGGTGTACTCTCAACTACAGGGAAGTGGCTCTGGTTACCCCTGATCTAATCCAAGTCCAAGGACTGTTCAATACAATTTAGTACCCTATCCAACTAAGGCTGTTGGATTCACTCAGTGCTCTTTAGTGAGGGGTACAGTCTTGTTTTCATGAAACTGTCAACTCTGGAGGGGGAAGGATTACTGAGGGATGCATGTATCCACAGACCACAGACCTTCAGCCGGCCCAACCCTTCGAGTGCTCCAAGGTCTCAGTCAAGGGCTACTTTCACTTACTGCCCAGAACCTCACAATTATCAGCTGTCCTATACCCAGGCCCTCACATTTGTTAGACTGCCGCAAGCTCCATGAGGCAATAAAATTCTCTCTTCCCTGTCTTTCATCTTCCTTAGAGCTCAGGAACCACAGCCAGAACTGGAATACTTGCTGACCAACTAAAGATGGGAAACCTCTTTTCTCAAAGCCAGTAGAGTTGGGAACCTGTGACTGCCATTGAAGCTCAGCGGTAGAGGCTTCCAGAGTGTCCAAGTCACTCAGAAGTGCACGCAGCTACAGTTAATACTCAACCAACTGGTGACTTAACACATTACAAATTAAGACAAATAAGGATGATTATGGAGCAGGAATGCAATGCACACGAGATGTCCTGTGAGCTTGCTGGGAGGCAGCGTGGGACACACTTCTTCCTGGCCAGGTAACCTTGGGCAGGTTAATGACTCACCAAGGCCTGTTTCGGGATCTGGGAGAAGGGAATGATGTAGTGGGATGGTGGGCACTACCTGATCAGCTGTTGCCTGGTCCAAGACCACTGACATGTGCTTAACACAGTGCCTGGCTCACAAGTGCTCCACATGTGTCGGGTGTCCTTGCTACAGCCCCAGGAATCCCTCTCTCCATTCGTGTAGGACTAGCTGTGGTTACACAGGGGCTTGGGGCTTCAAGGAAGGGTCTTTGCACAAAGTCCAGATGGCGGGTGGAAAGCGAGGACAGGCCCCAGAAAGAGAATGACCCAGAAGTAAATTGGGGAAAATAATCCTTTTTGGTTAGTCTTGTCCCCCTTTTAAAGGGCTATCTGCTGCCCAGCTCTGGTCCCACAATGGGGCACTGGTCATCATCCCTGTCTTCGAGGCTACCCCTGGCTCCAGTCTATGTGAACAGATTAAGACATACATGAGTCACAGCCTGGGGTCAGGATTCTCTAAAGGGGGGATACCTTGGACAGGCTAGCTTCTCCTGGTCTCAGTCTCTGGCGGGACTGTTGTGAGAATTGAGTGAAATTGGATGGAGTACTCTGGGCCTAGGACCCCAGAAGAGCCGAGCCAGAACTAGTGAGTAACACTCTCCAAAGCCTCCTTCCCACAGCCAGAGGGGATCCCCAGACGTCTCCCCTACCCCACCCCCACCACTCTTCCACTCCACCGTCAAGGCCGCCAGGACAAAGGCCACTGGCCTCGCTCCTCAGACCACCCCCGGGGGGGCCACCGCTCAAGATCCCGCTGCTCAACCCAAGATCCCGCTGCTCAACCCCATCCCGGGCAGAGGCGACCCCACTCCCACTCCATCGCCACCGCTCCCTTCAGCAACTTGCTTTCCCGGCCGCTGCCCGAAGTTTCCCGAACGCCCGGGCGCCACTCCCGGGAGGCTCAGATACGCCCCCATGCCTCGGCCGGTCGGGAGTGACAGGTGGGAAGAGCCGGGCGGAGGGAAAGCGTGGGGCGCGTGCGACGGCAGCGCACATCTGACTTGGGCCGCCCCAGAGCCCGCACCCCACCTCTGGGGCCGCGGCACCAGCGAACGCGGGGCTACCCGGGACCGAGCGGTCGCCGGGCTCCGGAATGCAAAACGTCCGGAGGCTGGGGACCGCAGGGCGGGCGCGCGCGGGGCTTCTCCCGCGTGAACCGGGCGGTCGAGGGGTGGGCGCACGCGCACCCTCGCGGGCCGCCGTAACCCCTTCCTCCCCGCACTCCCACCCATCCCACCCACGGCTCACCGTCTATGTCCCCCAGGGTCAGCTCGTCGCCCAATTCTGTGAGGGTCTCCATGGTCTCCAACCCGCCCAGCTCGCCGCTCTCGTCCATCGCCGGGCTCGGCGGAGAGGCCCCACTGCTGTCCGGCTCAGGGAAACGCGGGGGCGGTGCCGCCGCCACCGCCCATGACACTCGACAGCCCCCGCCCGGAACCGCCTCACCGGTCCGCGCCAGCCGCCGCCATGTTTGCGTTGCGCCTCGGCGCCGCGCGGGAGGGAAGGGGCGGGGCGGGATGCCCCCGCCCCCGCCCTCCGAGGCCCAGCCCCCTTGTTTGTTGTCAATGGGACCAGTCCGGTGGCGGCCAATCAGCGCTCGAGGCGGCGCGTGGGGTGATGGTGCGTCAACGATCAGCAGCTTTGATTTGCATAACTCGGCCAGCCCCTCGCGGCCTCGTAGCAAATGAGAGGACGTGCCGGTAGGTCCTCAGCCCAACCTCTTTCCCGGAGTTTAAAGGGACCGTTCTCTTTTCTGGTGCTTCCCCCTCCACAAGCACCCCCCCGCCACCTGCTGGAGATTGAAGGGTTAATGCAGCACTTTTTTTCCCCCCACCCTCCCTCTTGTCGCCTCTTGGATTGTGAGCACATTACGTCATCTTCCCAGCTACACCGCCCCCCGCCCCGCCCGCCTAAGAAAGCGGGTAGACTCAAACCTGGCCCTCTGCACTGGAGACAAGAAGTCACGCTCTCCCTACCCGCAAACCGAGGCTCGTCGTGGACAGGGAATGGCCCAAGCAGCTGGCATTTCTCACCTCTGTGCCTTAGCCCCTCGGAGGCCCCTGATGCCCAGGCCGGAAGGTGTTTTGAAAAATGTATCAAAAAAAAAAAAAAGAAAGAAAAATGTATCGCCCAGTTTCAACCAGGACCATTACCCGTTGGCTTTACTCTCTTAGGGGTCCAACGCCTCCAAGTGCCTCCGGACCCTGTACTGCTGCTAGCCGACCCTGTACTGCTGCTAGCCGTTGTAAACAATTTAAATGTGCAAACTTCTAAGAATGTACAAGTACATGTTTTATCTGATGTATACATACATCAGACATTCCTCTTTTTCGCAGACCCATCTTGTATACAGGATGGGGCTTCAAGAAGTTCGTGGGAAAACTGCAATTTCCCAAGAGCTCTTTGAAGCCCAAAGCAAGGAGCCCTGGAGGCCGAATGGTTGTTAACAGGTAGCTAGAGTAGGGATAAAGGGGGTGGTTTCCACCAGGTGCTTATGGAAAGCGAAAATCAGCTGTCCATGCCATAACAAAGGGTTGGACAGAAATCAGGCGCACTAGACACGAATGGGAAAATCCAGAACTGAGCATGCTCAGACCCATCACCTAGGCCCAGGTGAGAGGTCCACCTGGGTGCACAGACTAGGTACCAACAATATTACATCACACAACTGCGCTTAAACTCAGCCAATACCCTCAACCACGCCTCCCCAGCCTTAAGCACCTGCTTCTGTTCTAGTATTCCTTCCACTTTTTTTCCATGCGCCCCTGAAATGGCCATTTTCAGCTGCGAACTTTCACACAGCCCCCACCATGTGGCCTTGCAGGCTTTCCAGAGATCACATGGGTACTTTGGGACTAATACCTGAAACTTCCCTTTCCCTCAGAAAAGTTACTTGGATTTACAAAAGTGTTTCTGCCATTGCGAAGCAGGAATTGAGGTAAGCCACCCAGACACCTACGGTAAGTTACACAACTGGGACTGTTAACCAAATAAGATCAGGCGTTTGAACCCAAGGGGGAAAGATATGGCAGTCTGTCCAGAAAGCCCTATGGACTCATGTTTTTCTATAGTCGCTATAGGAGCCCTGGTGGCAGTGGTGGTTACGCCTTAGGCCTCTAACTACAAGGTCCGAAGTTCCAAACCACCAGCTGCTCCGCAGGAGAAAGCTAGGGCGCTCTACTCCCTTAAGAGTGGACAGTCTCTGATGCTCACAGGGCAGTCCAACCCAGATTTACAGGGGTGCCGTGAGTCAATATCAACTGTTGGCAGTGAGACAGGATCACTATAGTTGGTAGCAACTCAAGGGCAGTAGGTATATAGAAAATTTGTCTCCTCCCCACCCCATGCAATTCAAGATGTGCAGGGGCTAGTGCATTTCTGGGTGTATGCCTGTTAGCTGTATTGTTAGGTCCAAGTATGGCTTTATCATTGATTTTATCTGGCGATATGACATAAGATGTGTCAAGTTGCTAAGGAGTGGACTGTTGTAGTTTATGGGTCAACTCAAGTGCCAGGTGTGTCCAAAGGTACACGTCCCAAGATCCTCTGTCACTGAGAACACTGAGAGAAGTCCAGGGACTGGATGCGTTTCATCCACCTGATGGAATACCACGGCATCATTAAAAATTACGTACACACACGTGTATTTATTGACAAGAAAAGACTCATAACGTACTGTTGACAAAGAAGAAGTTTCCAGTGAGTGTGCAGGGCAGCATCGCGTGGTGCTCTCCATTCCAGAGTGCACAGGTCCATATCCCACCCGCTCAACCAGACCTGAGGCTGGTTAAGAAAATGTTCTCTGCCTCAGTGTTGTCATCTGTGAGCTGGAAGTAAGACCATATTCTTCACACTTGTGCAGATTCATCCGCTTTATTGAAGAGCTCTGTGGCAGGCAAACACACAAACAGAGCAAGCAAGCAGAACAATACATTTTAAATGACGTGACGGTGCAAGCGATCCCAGGGGAAGAAGGGGGTGTAATGGAACTGTACCTGACTTGGGGAGGACTCTGAAGAAGTGTCATTTAACATAAAACCTAAAATTCCGAGGAGAGAACTGCATTTGGGAGAGCCAGAGTAAAGGACCCAGCAGGGAGGCTCCCTTGGATAAGGGAGCTATTTAATGGAAAAAACACACATCTATGAGCTCACAGGAAGGGCAAAATGGATGGAAGTCTAGAGCTGAACGGCGTGATTTGGGGGTGGGGAGATTTGGAGCAATTTCACGGCTTGATATTGCTTGGATGACTTTTTAGACCAAACATACGTAGCTAAAACACACAATTTACTTTTCTGAATGAGGGAGACGACTGCCTCGGCCCTCCTCTGATGGCAGCTCCAGCACTGCGTGGAACGTGGCCACCGTCAACTTCACCTCAGTGGCTCTCTCGGGGCGTGACTGTCCACTCGCCAGGTAGAATGCTGTAATGGCCCCATACAGATGAACTTTGGCCTCATGCCCTCCCTCTTGGGCACCTCATAACTCCTTGCAGAGGGCTGCCAGGCCCAGGAGGCATATTAGTAGGCACGATATTAATGGCCCTGCACCTTAGTATGGCAGCTGTGCCCCGGGCTCCCTGCTGGGCCTGTCAAGAGGAGTTAGAAAGGCCACCTTGCTGGACCTGGCCTCCACACCTTTTTATTCTGTGTCCCCAGGGCTCTGGGTCCCTGGGTCCCAGGTAACAAGTTCTGGTGTGGAAGGCCTCTGACAAGCCCCTCCTTAGGGCCCAGTGTTTCCTCTGAAAAGGTTGGGGAGGGGAGTCTCCTGTCCATCATCGAAGAGGACTTGGCATACTTTGTTGTTTTTTCCCCCCTTTTTCATATAAGACTCTTTCCCTTTATGGGCTTTGGCTCCCTGTGCTTGCCTCCCGCCTTCTGTCCCAAATCCCTAAGGATTAATCCACTGGGTTAATAATCAAGTGCATGTGCCCCGCTGTTTTACCAGGGGTGGGACGGGAATGGGAAACAGGGAAATGACAACTTAGGTTTGAAAGAGCTAACACGCAGGACTGAAGGGCAGCAGGTGGCCACAGGCTATGTCATCCTAGACTCTTAGGACCTAGAGGATGAGGCTGCCTGAACGGAAAGAAAAGAAACAAGGCAGGTGAGGCAAGAGAGGCGGGGGCAGCAAGCTACATGGGAGGATCCCCTTGAGGAGGCGGAGGGTGGGGCAGCAGGGGCAGGGAGGGAGATGGCTAGGACTCCAGGAGGGAGGAGAGCGGACTTGTCCTGCAACGTGAAACAGGCTCTGGCTAATGAATGCATCAAGGGGATTCTGACTCCCCAGGGCGCATCTGGCAAGGTCTGGAGCCGTGGCTGGTTGTCATAACTGGGGCACTGCTACTAGCAACTAGTGGGTAGAGAACAGGGATGTGGCTAACATCCCACAATCACAGGACAGGCCCTCCCAATGCCCCAGCACAAAGAATTATCCAGCCCCAAATGTCAATAGTGTCACGGTTGAGAAGCCCTGTCTTGGGAAGCCCCTGGACTCTGTAGGGGTGCCAGAGACTAGGCCTAGAAACCAGCCGACGAGAGAAATATCCTACACGGGTGAGACCAATGAAGACACCACCGTTGCCACCTCTGGGCACCCGCCATAGGGGTGGACCCATCACTACAACTAACCCTTACGGTGGCCCCAGTCCCTGCTGTCATTGCTGCTACCAGCACCACTGGGTGAGTGGATGCGTGAGGGCTTCAAGTCACCTCACTGGTCCCTAGCTGCACAAGGGTGGGCGGCGGGTGGGCTTGGCCGCAGGAACACTCAAAGAGTCCAGGACAAACCAGCACAGGAAGGAGGTGCCGTGGCAGCGAGGGGCAGGCAGGGTTCCGAGCTCTCTCAAGGTGTCTGATGGAGACACGGCCCTCTGACTGAATAAGGGAGGAGAGAGACCAGGGCAGGAAGCTGGGTCCCTCTCTCTGGCTCTGCATACAGTGTGCACTCAGCCCCTCTATGGGACCAACAAGGAGCCATCAGCAGGCACCTGTCACAGGCAGGTCACTTGAGCCCCAGGTCCCTCTACCTGTGGTTGCCGGGTGCCTCCGAGTCCATGGAGACTCACAGTGACCCATGTCTGAGCTGCCATGTTGATAAGAGCTCACCGGGCTTTTCCCATAGAGCCGCTGGAGGGATTTGAATGGCCAGCCTGACTTCCAGTTAGCAGCTCAGTTCTTAACCATGAAACCACCGGGCCCTTTCCCCAGGCATCCCTGTCCACTCGGAGCTGGGGAAACTGAGGACCTGCGGAAGGGCTCCTGATTCTGATGGCAACAGCCAGGCAGTGTCAGGGCCTTGCCTAGACCCAGAAGTCCCTCAGTAGGACCCCAGCCCAAGCTGGGCCTCTCTCCCCACACCACTCTGAGGCTTCCTTTAACCACCACTCCAGCAGTTCTCAACCTGTGGGTTGCGACCCCTTTGGAGGTCGCCCAATTCATAAAAGTAGCAAAATGACAGTGATGAATTAGCATTGAAAATAATTTTATGGTTGGGGGGTCACCACCACATGAGGAACTGTTTTAAAGGGTCACGGCATTAGAAGGTTGAGAACCACTGCTCTACTCACTCAGCTTCCTCTGATGCCCAGAGCTGCTGCCCACCAGCCCCGTCCCCACAAGGCCAGGCCCATGGCAAAGCAACCTAGGGAGTTCTTCCTCTAGGCTGGGGGAAGGTTCGGTCTGTCCCTGTAAATCCCATGTCCACACCAGAGGACTAGGAGCCCGGCCCCAGCTCTACCTGGGATCTCAGGGTTCCCCGGGGGAGAGCTGTCTCACAGGGTTCTCTCGCTGGAGCTGTAATGGAACTGGAGCACCAGGGCTTTTCTTCCGCAGTAGGTTAGAGGTCAAGTGCAAACAGCTCTCAACCACTCTTGAAGCTGGGCACTGCTATCTCATATAACCCTTGCAGAAACATGGCTGGGGCTACACAGCCAGGGGAGGGGGCAAAGGTATAGGGGTCAGTCCCACCAGGCTCCACCTCCCCTGCCCAGCAACTGTGACCAGATGGTTGGTGGGCAATAGTGAAGAGAAAACTTTTCCAGGCTTCTTCTCAGCCCCCAACAGTCCTCTCTCTTCCCGCTGCAGCTTGTCTCCTAATTCCTCCTGACTGATGGGGAGCAGGAGGCTCTGGGCTCTTCCAAGCAGCCTCCCTGAGGCTCTGCTACCCTTTGCTGCCCTAAGGAGCTCCTGAGGGAAGCTGGCCAGGCTCGCCTCAGAGGAGCAGGTCAGGGCTTGGCAGAGGCTTGGGCACTCAGCAGCAGCAGCAGGTTCTGCCAGTTAAACCCGGCACAGGGTTGGAAGGTGGAGATGGGGTTCAGGTTTGGCTTTCAGGGGGGTGAAGGGGTCTGGGGAGGGTGTGCCTCCCTCCCTTTTAACAGGCAGGGCCTAGCCTGGCTGAGTGGGGGTGGGAGTTTCCTACTCACACCCTCCTTTCTCTGCTTGGGGGCAGAGGTGGGGGCAGAACTAGGAAGCTACCGCAAGGCCACAGGTCTCTCCCATGCATCAGCCACCAAGCAGTAAGCAGCACAGGCTCCTGTAGAGCTGCCCCCAGCCCCTACGACCCGCACATGAAGGTTTAAGTACTGCCGGGCAGGGCAAACTGGCTCTTCCCTGACCCTATCCAATGATGGTTCCTCAAGCATTTGAGGACGAAGCCACCTTGCTCCAATGGCCTGGTCTGAACCCCCTCCCAGAACCAGGAGGCCAAGCTGGGCTGCTGCTTCCCTCAGGGCCTAACAGCCTCTCCCCATGAGCCAGGTGAGTCCTCTTAGCCACTCTCCATATCCTTGGGCACCTCACCACCACCCCCTGCAGGTGTCAGGTGCACTGGCCCAAACCAATCTCAGGGCATTTGCTGGCTTTTATTGTCTCTGCAGAGGGGCTGAGACTTTGCTGTGGGGAGGCTTGGTAACAGTGTGTTGGACAAACAATAGGCATAGCACCTCCATGTCCCAGAGCCTGGTTTTGCTGCCCCTGATCAAGGGTCTCACCACTGCAGGAGAGCCCAAGGGGGCCCTCTCCTCCCGCCAGCAGTCTCCACAGGGTCCTGTCTGTAGAACATCAGCCTCTCAAATTGCCCGAAGTGCCCCTGCAGGGCAGCTCAAGGAACAAGTTCAGCCCAGGCTCAGGCCATGCTAGGACAGGGCTCCCCAGGGCAGCGGGCGCATGTGGTCTTCCCGCCACATGGGGATGGTGGCTCTCACCACACAGTTGCTGCTGTACCTCGGCCACACGGCTGTGGCCTTTTCCTCAGCTTGGCCTCCTCCCGAACCCTTGGGTCCTGAGCTGTGCCGGCGCTATAACTCAGACTGGGATCTTGAGATGCGAGGGCCTTTCCGGATCTCTTTCCGCTTCTCCTCCTTCTTCCGGCGTTTCTCTTCTTCTCTCAGGGCCTTCTGGAAAGGGTCGGTGCTGGGAATGAACTGAGGGAAGAACAGACCAGCCTGGTTTAGCCTCTGGCAGCCACAAGTTTGACTTGCTTCAGGTCAGGCTCTGCAAGCTGTGGGGACAGGAAGGCTGCCATCACCAGGCCCTGTCCTCAGGGAGCCCCCAGGGAGTGGCTGTGGGAAGCCTGGCAAGTGGACCTTACTACAGATAAGCTGGGGATGGTTGAGCCAACAGGAAGGAAAGAGCAGGGGTTAAGAACAGTGGGATGACTCACAGGCAAGCGCATCTGAGAAAGCCCAGACTTCTCCAGGGTGCAGAGCACTGCTGGCCATGCCTGAGGGGGAGGAGCCAACAGAACCTGACAAGGAGCAGAGAATGAGGAAGAGGAAGAGGAGAGGATGGTGGGCTCACAGGGCCAGTTGGGAAAGGGGTTGGGGGATTTTAATCAGGATGTTCATTAATGGCCCCCGGACCCACCAAGGCCTTGGCTTCCCTCTGACCTGTAGCCAGGCTCACCTTGACCACAGCTTCTGTTCCATCCACAAGGCCAAGTATCCCTCAAACTGGCGCCTCTATCCACATGTGCAGTCCCCAAAGCACACCGAACTCACAGCCTTCGAGCCCATTCCCTCTATCAGGTTTCCGAAGCTGCGAACCTTTCCCCTGAGGAGTGGCTGCTGATTTGGATCTGCTGGTCTTGTGGGCTGTACACCCAATGTTTATCGCCACGTCACTACCAGGGCTCCCCTACATGTCCACTAGGTGGTCCCAAATGGGCACCCTATGCAACCATGAGTTTCCCCCTGTTCAAAGGATAGAATAGTAATGAAAACGGAAAGACATTTGGAAACAATTAGTCCACGGGACTAATGGATCGATCACACATCAGTCTCCACAACCCTGAGACCTTGATAACTAGGTGGCTCCTGCTCACCACTACCAAGGGATCTGAAAGGAGTCCTGGATCAGAGTAAAATATGAAACATAAAAGAGACCAGGCTGCTGGTCAGAGATTGTGACACGGTCAAGAATATGGTCCTTAGTCATCCTGCTAGTGTGGACCGGAACTCACCTTCATGTTAGAATCTGTGGAGGGAGGTCAGATGCGCAGGCATTCCCTCCCCTGAAGGCAATCAGTTGCCAGACTGCTGTCTCATCCCACCACAGGGGTGGGCCTGCTCCCTGCCTCTGGGGACAATGGACAGGCTCCTGTGGGCAGAGTTCGCATCCTACTGATAATGGTCTCTATCAGTTGGGCCAGGGACAGACCAAACCGGCTGTCCCTCCTCTTCCTATAGCATGTATGTCCCTAGATCACCCCCTCCCATCACTGTGATACCTGTAGCACAACCCTTTCCTGTGAAGTATGTCTTCGCCTGTAATGTGGGGGCTCCAACGTTCCCCAGAGTATAAAAGCTTGGGGAGCATTAAAATTCTCTCTCCCTCCACGTGGCTTACCAAGCGGGGCTGAGGTGAGCATGCTACCATGAAATGTGTCTGACTCCATTTATTTCTATATATCTCTTTTATCTCTCATGCTCTCTATAACTTTATTATAATATTTACTTATTGTTGCTGTACAATTGCGCCTACCGAACCCGTAGTGATTGTGCTAGGAGCTGGCTTTTTCTGGCAAGAATCCTCAACCATTTAAGATCAAAAGGGCAGCATTTACCCAAGGACAGAGTGCCAAGGTTAGGAAAGACAGGAGACTGGAAATGCAAGGAGGAATCAGGATAAACGATGGTTCAATGAAAGGATTGCATTGATGAATTAAAACAAAATGTACACGAATTATTGGACATAAAAACAAAATGTGCATGAATTATTGGATTTGCTCTGCAAACCTTTCACTTAATTCAAAAAAGTAAAACAAATACGAAAAAAACCACAAAAACCCCAACTTTAAAACTAATAACAGAACATTGTCCCAAACCTGGTCGTTCCCATGGCCTCATGGGCAGGCAGAAGCTGGACACTGTAAAGGAAGACAGAAGAGGACTGAGGCATTCAAACTGTGGTGTTGGAAAAGAGGGCTGAACATGCCCAGGGCTGCTCGAAGAATGGACAGAAATAGAAACACAACTAGAATGCCCCTTCCTTTGGACCTGTCACCAGAAAAGGCTCAGTGGCTAGAGAAGGATAATACATTTGGTAAAGTGGAGGTCATCGAAAACAAAGGACACTTTCATGAGATGGATCAGCTACAGCCACAAACACCAACTGTCATGAGAGTGGCCCATTCTGTTCCATGTAAGGTCGCCATGAGCCGGAGCCACCTAGAGAGCAATGAACAGCATCTTGGCACTCTAGATAAACCAATCAATTCGGGGTAGGTAGAAATATCATTGGATGCAGCCAGTTTTTAAGTGTTTAAGATATATTTTGGATAACTTTGTGACTGAGCATAGTAAAGAGTCTAGATCCTGCGAATAGCAGAGCACATAGCCTCTTGAGCAGCTCCAGGTCCATCCAGCTGGAATCTCAGCCTGCGGCTTACTAGCCTGAGCTGCTAGGGGGTCCCTCCTTAGGCTATTTCTTCACTTGTAAGTGGAGGACAGTATTATCTACTCATGGGATTGTGACAGAGATTACATGAGATGTATATACTACACTCACTCCAGTGCCTGACACATTGTAACTTTTCAATAAATATTAAGCCATTGGTATATCATTACTAACATCGTGAGGGAGCCATCAGATACGTGAAGAAAGCCATGATAAACAGGGATGTTTTTGTCCCCTGGAATTTAATCCAGTCTTTCTGATAACCTGCTATTCTTGAAGAGCACAATTTCCCCTGAATTCCTTGTTATTAGGTACCACTGAGTTGGTTCCTACTCATCAAAACCACCAGCCATCAGTCTAGTCATTAAAAAACAAAAACTCACTGCTACTGAGCCAATTCTGACTCACAGTGACCCTACAGGTCAGGGCAGAAATGCTCCTGTGGGTTTCCGGTATTGTAACTCTTTATGGCGCAGAAAATCTTTTCTTTCTCCCCAGGAGTGGCTGGTGCTATCAAACTGCTGACTTTGTGGTTATCAGCCCAACTTTTAACCACTATGGCACCTGGACTCCTAAAAAATGAGTATATCTTAAGTGTGAAAACATGTAAAAAAAGATGCATTGTTCCCTCACTGAACCATGGTGCTGTGGGGGACAGCACTGGAGACACAGTGCGGGAATAGTGCACAGTCTGGCCCCATCACGCTGGGGCGAAGCACTGAGGACATGCAGCAGAGCAGGAGAGGGAGCAGGGAATTAAAAATAGACTTTGGAGACAGAGTGTGGCACCCCATCAGACTCAACTGGAAAACACTCGTAAATGTCAACAAACAGATCTTGAACGATTTATAGGCTTTTCCATTTTTGTCAGTGGCTTTCTTTTTGTTATTGTTATTTTGTTCTTGCTTTCTGCTGCTGTTGTTATTGTTTTGTTGGTTTTTACTTCCTTTGTTGTTTTATTTGGCTTTGCCTGTTCTTTGCACTTATTAATGTATCTGCATGTCTAACTAGATATGATAGGCAGGATAAACAATTCGGAGATGAAAAGAACAGGACCAATGGTTCCGAGGGGATACGGGAGAAGGGGAGGTGGGAGAAAGGAAGGGGGGATGACCAACCCAGGGACAAGGGAACAACAAGTGAACTAAAATCAATGGAAGGAAGCTCATAGGATGCCTACTGGGGCTCAATCAAGGGCAATGTAGCAACAAGGAATTACTAAGCCCGAATGAAGGCTGAACATGATGGTGGGACTGGAGGGAAGTAAAAAGTAAATAGAGGAAAGAACCAGGAGGCAAAGGACATTTACAGAGGTCTAAATACAGCATGTACATATGTAAATATATATACATATAAAATGAGAGGGAAATAAAACTATGTACTCATATTTATATGTTAAGAATTAAGGTTTCAGATGGACATTGGGCCTCGACTCAAGTACTCTCTTAATACAAGAACACTTTTTTCTAACAATCCGGCATTCTGTGGTGCTCACCTTCCCAACATGATCACTGAAGACAAAATGGGTGCATAAGCAAATGTGGTG